GAAGGGGTTCCTCTAGGACTATCTTATAGTTATAAGGCTAGTAGATTAGAAGTTTGTTAGCCTTAGCCTTGTTAAAGACGTCCTAATAGGAGTTGTAGTTAGATAGGAGCTTCTAATCTAACAAGCTATGTTTAAGAGTATCCTGTTTAGATAGGGTTTAGATCCTACGCTTAATCTTATATAGGCTAGTAGTAAAGAATTTATTAGAAGATTTTTTTATATTAAAATAGAAAGCATTAGTAGAAATAGTAGTAATTTAAAATTTTGCGGGTAGGGTAATAGTTAGCGATTAGACTAGGGTAGGTAGCGTAATAGGTTTAGTAGCAGCCCTATAAGTAGCTAGAATTTTAAGTATACTACGTATCCTGTTAATTAAACCAGGACTGTTTTAGTTCTAGTTATCCTCTTAATCCTAAAGGGTGTCTCTTCGCAAGATGTTGTGGGTAACTAGAGTAGACAGCACTTGCTAGTGGAGTCGTACTAGAATTAGAGGAGCGGGGTTGTAGGTTAGAGGATATTTCTCTAGCTAGATTAGTTAAGATTTATCTATATTAATTAGGATTTAGAACTGTTTTAGCTAGTGTTGTCTAATAATACAATCCTAAGAACCTAAGTCCACTATTACAAAGGGGTAGTTATGAACCTTTTGGCCACTAACTATTATGTGAAGCTAAATATAGTAAGCAACTAGGGAGGTAATCTAATCCTAGAACCCTTTAATAGTAAGCTTATATAGTAGCTTTTAGATAGGTACCCTAAGCGTAGAAGAGATATTATAAGCAATTTTTAAATTAAGAAATAAGTAACCTTAGGCCCTAGTATCTACTAAAGCGTTTAGGCAAACACTAGATCTATTAAGGCATAGGGTTGTACGTGCAAGTAAATAGGAACTAACAAATAATTTAGTTAAGGAAAGGTTTAACAGGTTATATTAAGTTAGGCCTAGGAAGGAGGATCCTCCTAGGCGTCGTTGTTTCCTGTCTAATAGCCATCTAAATCGGTTAATTTAGTAGTTTCTTCTTCCTTAGAATTCTTAACACCCTATTCCACATCTATAGCCCAAATCCTAGGGGGTTTAGGGCAGTTACTAGAGAAGTGCCTAGGCTTTCTACAATTATAGTAAGTTACTAGGATTCCTGTTGTAGTAGCGCTAGGAGTAGCTAGCGTAGCGGATAGGGGTTAATTATTTTAAGGGGTAGTGCCTTATTATTACAAATAGGGCATATAAGGTTTAGCTATTAAAGGTCTATTATAGGGTTTCTAATTAGCGTCTAAATAGGACTAGTTTCTAGAGTGTTAGAAGGGAGTTAGTCCTTTTCTAGATAACAGGGTAGTCTAGGTAGGAGTAGATAAGGTAGGGTATAGGCGGCGTTCCATATTAAAAGCAGTAAGATAATCTACTATAGTCTTAAAATTATTGTGCCAATTCTGTTAGAAAGCAAGGTTTAGCATCCTTAGGGAAGGTGTAATCTTTATCTAGAGGTAGTAATACTACTCTAATTAGGGTACTTCTCCTCTAATAGCAAGACTCTAGAATTATAACTTAAAGGCAGGGAACGTCTCTATATTAGTTATGTATAGGTAGTTAAATGCGGTCTAACTCTTAGCTATCTTATTTCTAGTAATAAAGTAGGTTTAAAGGAGGGTAATTATTTCCTTAGCTTTTTAGAACTAAAGGCTTAGGGAATTAGATAGGTAACGTGGCTCTAAGTATTCTCTTGCTAGTCCTAAGTAGTGTCCCTAGACTAACGCTATCTAAGCTCTAGAAGAGGGGTAGTAATTAGCGTTAATCTCTAGCCTATCCTAAATAGATGCTTGCTATTATCTAAAAGTGGGATTAGCACTATCACTAAGTGTGGAGATATTTAGCGTCTTTTTAGATTGTCTCTTAGCTTTTATAGCATACACTATAGGGTTTAATATAGAAGCTAAAGACTAGCTAGGTTAGGTAGTACCCTGTATCTCCTTATAGAGGGAGGTGTTGTACAACTAATTAGTAAGTTGCTTAACTTATTCCTCTAACCTCTCCTTTTTAGATAGGGTTAACATATATTTATCTTTAAGGGAGGTGTTACTTTAAGATTTCCTAGGAGCACAAGGTACCTTAAGAGATAGATAGGAAGCAGGTCCTTTAAGGAGGGCGTTGTTGATCAAGTCTTCCTTATCTAATTTCTTTCTATTAGTAAATAGGCTTTTAAAAGCGGCTAAACTAGAGGCCCTTCCTTTGCCCTTGTCTAATATTTTGTAGTTAATAAGAATAATAAATCTTTTCTTTTCTTTTAGGGGGTTTGGTTGTAGGAGGATATTAGCTTTGCCTCTAATTCCTCTAGGCTTTTAGTAGTCTCTGGGTCTCTACCTTAACGCAATCTAACGCGATTTTTCTAAAGGTAATCTAGCACCACCTATAGGTCTAGAAGTCTAAGCCTATAGGCTTCAGTTGTTAGAAGTTCTAATAGCTATTCTAACTATAGAGTTGCAGGGTTAGGTAGCTACCAGAACTAAATTAGTAGCTTAAAATAACAACAAGTGCGATATTCTTAAATGCTGTTACTAGCTAGGATAATGTTCTTCTTATAATATAACAACTTAGGTAGGTAGGGCATCTAAAAGGTATCCTATACAACTCAAAGGTATATAGGAGTGCGCGTCTATACAGAAAAGGATAAGATTCCTACACCTATAGGTCTTGTACAAAAGGACAAGAAGAACATGCCTATCCTAACTATAGGCAAGCTGTTCTCTATATACATTAGTGAGTCGGGCCTTTATTAGGCCTGACTTGGCATGGAACAATGGGCAGGCAATTCTGCCTTATTGTTACATCTATAACACTTATCTTTTTGTAAGTGCTTTACACTTCTAAAAGAAGTTAGTAATAGCAACTTAATATATCTTAGTTATATCCTTATCTATAATAATTTAGCTAAGTGTAATAACTATAATATATTAGAAACGTGTTATAAACCTATTCTTAATACGTACGCTTCTTTTCCTATAGGTAGAAGATTACTATTAGAATCTCTGCCTATGCCCTATATAACCTCTTATATAACATATCTATCTAGAATATGTCTTAATCTAATAGAATTAATACCTACTCTTTAAAAAGGCAAATAATTAAGTTACCTAAGCTTAATATAAAGATTTGCTATATATACGCCTGTAGTAACGTGTTAGTAACGTGTTCTAAACCTGTTCTCTTATACTACGTATAGTTTTAGGATCCTAATACTTTATCCTCTACTTATAGTGTACTCCTCTAAGGCTACTCTTAAATAGGAACTATAGAAGCTTTTTACGCTTTATAATACGTAAGATTTTATCTTTATTTACAAAGCTAATATATATTTCTTTAATAGAATAGAAACCTTTAAGTTAGAGATAGGTTTAGAGCTAGGTTAAGTTTAGGAACTAGGCTATAACAAGTTAGGAACATATTTATAATAGGTTGCAAACAACTTATATTATATAAGCTACAGAGTAAGCATAGGCTATAACACCTTTACTACTTCCTTAATATTACTATTAGATAGTGTTAAGGGAGGAGGAGGTATATATATATATATACTAAAAGAAATAATAGTAAAAAAAGGTATTACTACTATATCTATTAGTATAATTACTTAGAAGGTAACTTTATATAGGATTTTAAATAGAGATCCTTACCCTTATAGATAATTAACGCCTAGAATATATTAGGAACGTGTTAGGAATAGGTTGCAATATACCTACCACACTTCTTTATCTAGCTTAACTATAGCTTAACTATAGAATATAAAGCAGGACTACTAGAAAGATTTAATATCTCCCTAGTTAGAAGACCTTATAGATATGTGGAGTCTACCTCTAGTAGTACCTAACTAAAATAATATTTTTTCCTAGTAGCAGATATTAGGCTATAGTTCTAACAGCTAATATATAGTTAAGCCTATTCTATAATTTACTAACTTGTTATTAACACGTTTTAAATATATTTAAGTTTTACTCCCTACCTAATTTACTATAGTCCTTATTATAGGATAATAAGACACCTAGTAGTCCTTATAAATCCTTAAAGAGAAGCGCTTAATAAGGCTATAATAATAGCTTCTTATTTATAGTTCTCTTTATAGAATTTTCTTAGGTACTACACTTTTTAAGGTTTAAATCTAATTATATAATACGTTATTAATAACGTAATAAGAATATATTTATAACGTGTTCTTAAGATACTTACACGCTTTTACCCTAGAGTATTAGTATTTATACTAGCTTGCTAGCTAGCTATTAAAGAATAGTAAAGTTATAGGCCTGTTAAGATAGATAGACTAGTAGGAGTATTATACCTACTAGAATTAGAATAATTTAAGAATATGTTCTTAACGTGTTACCTGTGTAGCCTACATAAGCACCTCTTCTCTTATTAGGTAAGAGCTATCTTTATATTGCTAAACTAGTATTATATACCTATACCCTTAGCTATGTGATTAAGGGTATACTAGGAGAATAGCTACATGCTTAATAATTACTAGTGTAAGTAGTGGTCCTTAACTATTACTATAAGTAAGGTATATATTATGCCCCTATAACGTGTTACTAACCTATTCTAAACTTGTTCTATTTACTTTTACTTACTTCCTTAATACTACTACTACTATCCTCCTCTAGCACTTTATATAGTTACCTAAATTTATCTCTAATATTACTATCTAGTTTAGATATATTATCTAGTACTACTATACTAAACTCTAGTATAGTATTTAGGAATACCTATATATTATTAAGAATAGGTTTAGAACACGTTTAAAAAAGATAGTAATAAAAACTATATTTACTTGCTTAAATTACCCTAATTTATACTTAACTATAGGCTAGTTTATATAACTATAAAAATTTGCCGCTGTGACGTGGACTTGAACCTACAGGGATATTCTAACCACTCGGAGTAAAGCCCAAGTCGCCCGACGCTAAACCCATGGTCATATGACATGCCACCACCAAGTTGGGCCACGTCCGCGCCGTCAGCGTCGTCGGTGGGAGATTGTTTCGAAACTGCAGCGAGGATGCAAGGCGGCGGCGAGGTGCACTGTGATGAAGAGGGGAGAGATGAGCAGTGCACTGCACAGCTTACGAGCAGCTGAGCTGATACTACTCTACTGTGCAGCAGCATTGTGACCGAATGAGGGTATGCGCGCGACTGCAAGGCACAGGATTCCAATCAAGCAGGGTCATCCATCTTATCGAGTGAACGGCCTGCTTTTGGCGCCTTTGGACAAGGGTTCTAAGAGTGCCGGCTGTTCACGTTGGGCGTGGGCGCAGAAATCACGTACGTACGTACAGACTCATACTTACAGCACAGTACTATACTCTACTTCTACTACTAGGTACATCCTATTTCCACCCTCTTTGAGCGGTGCCACGGTACCTGACAGATGCGTGGATGCTACTAGACGAGGGAAAGGAGGGATGGATGCGTGCATGCTGCGCCCACCACACCTACAGCCAACACCAACATACTCTGTACCGGCACTCACTACTGTAACACGACAGTTTTATTGCGACTGTACTCTGTGGACGGTAGAGTATGCTGCTCGCTCGACATCCACCATTCTCTTCACAATTTCTCAACGTCAATGCCGCGTCACGGGATGGAGCCCGTCTCATCTAGCTGAGAATGGGTCCAAGGTACCGTAGGGTCGGCCAAGTGTGTTGTGGGCGCCGAAGTGTTGAAACAACTAGTCGGCCAGTGCATCCAACCAAGTGAAGGGAACCGGGGCACTCCGCCAAAACTTCCACAACCCTCCCCTTCCCTCTCTCTCTCTCTCCCCTTCCCACAACCCCCCCCCCCCC